GGCATCTATGTACCCATCATCACCATATATGCCACGTTTCTGGAAACATGGTGCTGCGGGTCTCTTTTTCCTCGGTAAGCCTCTATATTGCAAGACTTATATCCTTGGGGTAACGGAGCATCCATGATCTAACGAATGAACGGTTCGGGGATCCTCACTCCATGATTGTGATTAATCCTCACGTCCACTTCCCTTCGGAGCTCGTCTAGCCTCCTCCGGAGATCTTCATTACCCTGTCCCGTCTGCTGCCGAGGTGGAGATCATCGATGCCTGCGGCCCTGCCGGTTGGCGTTGATATCGTCTCTGAGATCTATAGATGGCAATTGTGACCGAACCGATGGATACCCGCACCGAACCGCCCTGGTCAAAATGGGGAAAACCGCATTGACCGGGTAACGGGTACGGGGCGGGGAATCCCCGTTTTCTTTTTACGGGTAATGGGACGGTTACGGTTTTATACATGCCCGCCCCGTACCCGCCCCGTTTATTTGTAGATATATTTTTATTATATTTTTTATCTATTATTTGTCTAACAACTATTAAAAGATGAAATTTTTTCTTTCCATTGTGTATATATAGATAATAGATGTACTAACTATAATGTATGAACGAAAGTTCATAATAGATTTTAATAGTCTTGTTTGATTATTACCGTATTTTTGTGATTAATTATTTTTTAGATCAAGTATTTTTAGGTTCAAATTAATTTAAGTTGCTTGATTTCTCGTCTAGTATGTATACGAATCTTTAAATTGGCATCTGAAGTGTAGAGTCGTCTAGGCGATGTCATTCTTCACCTTTTAAAATATTATTTTTATATCAAAATTTAATGACTCAAGTAATAAAGTGGTTACCCGCGGTTACCCGAAGTTTTACCCGTTACCCGTTGGGGCGGTTATGGTTTGGGTAAAAATTACCCGTCGGGTAATGGGGCGGTTACGGGGTGGGGAAATTACCCAACGGGGCGGTTACGGTTATATGCAAAACCGTCCCCGATCCGCCCCGTTGCCATCCCTACTGAGATCTCCCCCACGCACACTTCGGCGGTGGGATGAAACGGCCGCGGATGACGCCTCCATGCTCGGTTCAGGTTGGGATGTGATCCGGTCATGCACGGAGACCCTTTGTCCACCAATCCGGTCCATCACCGAGGTCCTCGGGGTTCGTCTGGAACGATGGGATCGTTGAGACGGCGGGGAGCCCCTCCTAGAATGCTCGCGCCCCTCCTCCTGCCGAGATACAGACGGAGCCCGGCGAGGCGAAGGGGATCTCGCACCCTCATTAGGGATGATGCCCTGGAAAGCAGTAGTCACAGTTTCCACTGCCCTCTGGGATGTTGCTAAACTGGCCAGGGCCTGAACCGGATCAATATTGGGAATACGATTCCCAGTACCCGGTGTCTGAAACTGCGGTGACCGTGTCGCCGCCCGCCTCGAACTTTCAACGCCTTGGAGGCGGTTTCTTAGGTCCTCTTGCCCCGCTGCGTTGTCGTTCCGTCTTCGGAAATCACTGCGCCGTGACCGAGAACCTTCGTCATCAATCAGCACTTGGTCGTGGCGATTACCGCCCAGATTGCTGCCTCCACGGTTATGGCTATGAGATCCTACCATGGTTCGTCGCAGATCGAGCTCTCAATGAAAGCACAAAATGATGGAGTATAATCCAACAACAAGAACTGAATCTACGGAGAGATCATAATTTGGCAGCGCAAGGCAGTGTTTTATTGATCAATGTTTCGATCCCCCAGTAGGAGGTTTACAAGTTATATTTATAGGCTAAGGAACTAGTGTTACAAAAGGAAACTTATACAATAAATGCTATTAATGATGCATTAGTCCGAATAGGACTCCTGTAAAGTCTCGACCGTTGTGCCATGATTGTTCCTTTATTCCCACGTTCCAGCCGTTTATCTCCTGCCAGCTGCCATTTAAATGATATTATGCCATGTCAGCCCTGGGAATTTCCCAGCCTCACTAGAACTCCGCCCAGGCTCGAGGCATGCTTTCCAGCCTGGCCTGGCTGTGGGTTCCTCTCGCGGGCTTGGTTCCTAATTTGGACCCGGCGTCATCTATCATCAATCCCGTTTAAGGGCTAGTCCCGTTTATGGGCCAGACTTACACAATTGGGCCATGGTCGGGTCCCATGGTACCATCAATTAGATTTTAATTGTGAATTAATATAGTAATGACATGTGGTCATGAGTGAGTAATAGATTGACATGTGGCAATATGGTTCCTCCAATGTGACTCTCAATTGTATAATATATAGATATATGTATTTTTAATGAAAACAACCAAAGTTCTTTGTTGGAATTCATTTTAGTAGATACCGTTTAATGGGAGGTTCTAAAATTTGACAATTTGACAATTGTTTAATAATTATTATAGTGCAAGTATTAAATGGCAGTGATAGCAAAGGTAAAATCAGAATGATGGTATTTAATGTATGTTATGGAGTATTATTAGACTTTAATTGTGAATTAATATAGTAATGACATGTGACAATGAGTGAGTAATAGAGTGACATGTGACAATACGATTTCTCTGATGTGGCTCTTAATTGTATAATACATTCTACCTGTGCGATGCACGAGAGAATAGAAGGTACAAAGTAAGGAGAAGTTTATTGATATACAAGTATACTTTATTCATATAAATACACAAATTCTCATATAAATTGTGGATGGAAAGTTTTTAGTTAACAAAAAACATACTCCTCCTGTTTGGCAATTGGCGGATAGCGGTTAGCGGATAACGGATAATGTCATCGGGTTGAAAATAGCAGATTGAATCAGCGGATTTGACTAGCGGATTAATTCAGCGGGTTGCAAAAATATGTTTGGTAACTTAGGTGTTTGTTAATAGCGGCTAGTAGGTAAAAAGACAAGAAGGACATTGGTACATTTTAGTGTGTATTTTTGTTGTTTAATACTATGTATTTTGTCATATACTCGTATGTGTAAATTTATAAATGATTTAAAATTTAACTAAAAAAATCATAATAACTAAAATTCATGAGTTCACTAGACCAATACAAAATATGTAACTGTTTAAAAACAAAGTTTCTAGCAGCTGTGGTGCCTTCTATATATGTAATACGAAGTACGTGGTATGAATTATACATTTTGAAGTTACAATTTATCAGATTTCTTTCTATATAAATAGCTAAATTGACAAATCGATGTAACAACGAAAAACAAACCTCCATGATGAAAAAGATGCAGATTACTTTCTATGCCATAGATCAGTAGATCACAAACATACAAACACCTTCACACATATGCATGTGAGTGCATGACACGTACACATACATCATATTTTACACCTATGACGAGTCATACTTTTTTTTTAATGCAAGAGAGAAGAATCATCACATATAGTTGGACACCTCATCCCACATATACCTAGTTTCTCTCATGTGTAAGAGGAGAGATTATGCAGCGGCGATAAATGACAACTATACTTACCTTCGAATTAAACTTGGAGCAAAAATATTGGTCTGCAATGGCGACAATAAATTTGGATCTCTGCAGTAGCAATTAAGGATTTGGAGTTCTGCAGCGGCTAAGGAATAGGAACGTTGAGAAGGGCAAGTTTGATAAGTGATTTACGAATTCTAAAACGCCAAAACTAAACGCTACACTTCACAGCGTTTTCTATTTCGGCGGTTCGGCCCAAAACGCTAAAGCAGCCCGCTATTTACCAAACACTTAAAATCAGTTGTTTGAAAGATAAAAAACACTAAACTCGGTCAAATCCGCCAGTTTTTGGCTGAACCGCCGTTTTCCAAACACGGCCTATATCGAAACAATGCAAAACAATGTCAAAACAGTGTACTCTACAGTAAAATTTACCCCTCGGTAAATTTATTTCCTTAAAATTTGTTTTTCGTATCCTATATATTTATATATTATAATAATGCATAGTCAAAGAATTCATTTAAAGACATCATAAATATGTTACTATATAATACTACGTTGTATATATAATATTGCTAAGAAAGCCTAAATTTAGGCATCACTATATATTTTTAATGAAAACAACCAAAGTTCTTTGTTGGAATTCATTTTAGTAGATACCGTTTAATGAGAGTTTCTAAATTTGACTATTTTACAATTGTTTAATAATTATTATAGTGCAAGTATTAAATGGCAATAATAGTTCATTCAAAAAAGAATGGCAATAATAGCAAGGGTAAAATAAGAATGATGGTATTTAATGTTAGTTATGGAGTATTATTAGACTTTAATTGTGAATTAATATAGTAATGACATGTGACCATGAATGAGTAAATAGAGTGACACGTGGTAATATGATTCCTCTAATATGATTTCTCTAATATGACTCTCAATTGTATATAGATATAGATTAAGAGTAGAAATGTAATATTTAGTCTTATCGGAGAGAAACAAATTAACAAAAGTACGCAGTTTTATTTTTGAAAAAAATACAGAGCAAAAATTGTATTACCTTTGTCCCAATGGACATTGCACTACTTAAATTAGGTGAGAAATAAGAATAGTAAAAACTGTGTGGTTGAAGTTTGTGCACAAGAGAGAGAAATGAGTAGAACCACAAAATAGTTACTTTAATGGGAAAATAAGTTTTTTGGGACAACAAAAAAAGGAAAGATGGAAAAGTTCAATGGGAGGGAGAAGTATTTTAAAAAGTTAAGAGGCCGTTTGGCAACCCTCATTTTCGGCTTATCAAGCTTATCAGTCAACTTTTTATCCAAACACGTAAATTTTGCTTTCGCGCGCTGAATTGTGTAATAAGCCGAAAAAGTAAGGTTGAAGTTACTTTTCTGGCTGTATTGGCTGAAGTTACTATAGATGATCATTTTAGCTATTTTTACATATAATTTTTTCTTTATTTTATTAATAAAATATATTTAAAAAATATTTTTTTCTTGTATCAGCAGAATTAGCCAATGCAGCCACTTCAACCAGAACTTCATAAATTTCAGCAGAATCAGCAAAAACAGCCGATTTTCGTGTTACCAAACGGGCTGTAAGTTGGGTATCTTTTTAGGATGGGCAAAGCAAATTGGATTGTTTTTGGAATTGGACTCCAACTACAAAGGCAAATCGCTTGCCAAAGTCTCAGCTCCAAACGTGAGATTTGGGATTCTACGAGAAAACAGAACTTCTGGAACGCCAAGAACTGCCGCTCCATCTCTCTAGGGTTCAGGTACATATTTCTTTTACCATCTTCTTTCATATTTGCTCATGGAATCCAATCGAGTGATCATCATATTGCTGAAATTGTTATGATTAGCATCTCTCTTATCTCGGATCTTGATTCTTTGATCCGGTAAAGTAGCGTACATGAGCTTATCTGGATTTCTTCAACCGACCATCGCATAAGATATGAGTGGCGCCGGCAGCTTCTTCTCTTATATAATACAAATCCTTTTTAATAAGCCCTCCTAGAATATTCACAATGTTATGATATTTTTTGGGAGAAGAATTGACAATAGTTTTCTAATTCACCAGTTTCACCAAAAACTATGTTACATTCTAGTGATTCATACTATATTTTTTATATACATCTTACTAATAGGACTGCAGTTTTCATTTGTCAATCGCTAATTAAACTTGCCATCTTTTTAATATTTTTATAGATGAGCATAGTTTATTCTGTTTGGGACTTTGGGTATTCCTTTTTTGATGGTTGCAATACGGCCAATACCCTTCTTACCGGAAGTAAAGAAGAAGAGTCATAGACCTTTCTTAACTAATTTTCCACATTTGTGTTTATACTTTTTACTCTTGCATCATAAAATATTTTAAGAATGAAATTCAGTTCTAGAATCCCTGTGGTAATGACTTGGTGTTTATCAGTGTATGTAATATACCTCAGCTTGATTAAAATTAGGATCTTTATGGGAGTTTCATTGCAAAGAAGTGATCGAAGTCCGGGATATCGAATTTGGATCAAACAAGAAAGTAATGAACTTTTTAGGCTAATGGTTGATGTTGCCAACCCAGAATGGGATTGCATGAATCTTAAGATATGATTTTGTTGCATGAATCTTATGATGCGCTGTTTTTATATTCTATTTTTAAATTTTGTGAAACTTATTTGTGTTCATGACTTAGACAATTACTTTTGTGTATTTCAAACCAAGAATGCAATATTGTGATTAATTTTGTAATTGTTGTTATATTTTGCATTAAAATCATTTCATGAAACCATTTAAAAACATTAATATTCTTTTTTTAGGCTAGCAATAATACTAATCATCAATGTCTCTGAATGTCTTGTGTTGAAATCTACACAAATCCCATGAAATCTGTTCAGTCATAACAAGTCCATTCAAAGCCCATACTAATACAAAACTTAAGGTGTTTTACAAAGTCTGGAATGAATACTCCCTCCTAAGTCCGACACCTAGAAACATCCCATCGATTTCCTCAAGTTTGGCTCTGGCCTCCACGACAATTTACCGTTCTTCCATACTCAAGTATTTCATCTTCTACACCCTTTCTTCCCTGCTTCAACTCTCAAATTAACTAATATTCTCAATAAAAGTTAGGCTTTTGTTTTAATTAAACGAAAGGTTTTTAATCATGGTTTTTAGATGGCCGAATTTCCAAATCTGAACCAGTACTGTGCAGATCGTCTGTGAGCCATGTGCTTTCGATTAAGCACTTTACATATGTTATTTTCACGTTTCATATAAGTTTCACTTTATTATACTCTGTTTTTAAATACGTTTTTTATATTTTACTCTTACCCGTTCTTAGGTCATAATTGCCCGTTTAATTACAGATCGAACCAATCCATCTTCAATAGGACATGATTTCATAAATCACAATTTCTCTGATCCTTCTGTGGTTTTAGCGTATATAGATGAAAGTGAAGTTTTTTACTTTTAAAGGTGAATGATTTAGAGAATCTTTGTTAGATTCTGTCATTTGAAATCAAAGGATACAAAAAATGATGCAGGGAAAAGTTGCTAGAAGAATCAAAGCTCTGGTAACTAATTGTTTTGAAACCATACGGTTGAACTAATAATTATGACCTATCATTTTAATGTTCGATTTTATCCATTAGTGTATATTTATAGACCTGCATTTATTTGAGGTTTATTTATTATTGATTAGGCAAAAGATTATTTTATGCACTGGTGGATTGCTAGTGTGAACAAACTGCTACACAAAGGGGTCCGTTTTGCTGTTTTAAAACTCCTATAAAGCCTCTATTTTAATCAATAACCCCGAAACAATTTTGGATGTAAGTTTTAGAGGTATATTTTGGGTGTCATGTGTCAGCAGTCAACACAATTACATTAAAAAAATAAAGCTGAATCACATTGAATATAAGTGTCCACTAAAAGTGACTAGTATGGTGTTAACTGTTAGTCCAATTTACGCATTGAAAAGTAAGGGAGAATCAACTCAATTATAAGTATCCACTACTTATCATAACACGTAAGTGCTTGTACCTGAATTGATTAGAGTAAAAGGTTGTACTGTACTCAAAGTCTCAGACTGGATTTCTTTTTTGACACGGGACTGGGGGGGGGGGGGGGTAACACTGTTAGTTTTATTTATAGAGAACTTGAGCCGGAAACCATTCTTTGGGTGGAGATAATTTCAAAATGTTCGAGTTTTTCTTTTGGGAACCACAAAATAGGTATCAGCCTATCATTACTGGTATAGTAAGTGTTTTGCAGTAAATAATTCTCTGCACAACTACCATTTCCCACTGTACATTTTATATGAAACAACACAAATCTAAAGACTAAAATAAAATCATGAAAGTTGACTGATACTTTATCAGTCAGATTGAGTGCTTTGCTTCATTATTTTATTATTTATACACAGATCTTGGTGCATAAATAATTACTATGCAGAATTTTACATCTTTGGTTTTTATTAAATATAAATATAGATGTAGGCATGTAGGTAAAATATTTTATCAAAACTTCAATAGTGTTTTTTGTGACTGAAGAGTTTTGAATTGGAAATTCACCTTGTATACGTTAAGATTTGTACTTCCAGGCTCTTGATGCATATGTATTGACAGTATTGTGCCTTATGAGTTATAACTAGGGTTGTAACTGTATGTGTCCTAGCCGAAGATCATTTTGTCTGTGATGCATTTGTTAAGCTTTAATGGTTTTCATCATCATACGAACTGACTATCATTGTGTTTGTACATAAGCCCTCCAACTTTTCATGATCTTGCAATTGGGTCTCCCAATTCAACGACCTTACAACTATGTATCCCAACTTATAAAAAACAAACATTTAGGCCTTATTTACCTGAGATAACAACCATCAGGTTACCTTTATGTCATCAACCTTGTAATTGCCACATTTACAACACATCATCCACAATTCAAATGTGCCATATACGTACGACTAATATCACCTTCCTTTCTTTGTAATTCCTCATCCTTCTTCCTTTTTTGTACATACACACCACACACTGCACATTTTCTCCACCACCGAAGCATACTCTCCTCCTCTTTAACTCCATTAACTCACCATTGTCGATCACTGTTCACCACTTTCACTGTCTTCCTCCTCCAAGTCTCCCTCGCCCCTTCTCACCCGCAGCCCTTCCAACCCCTTTAACTTCCCCAAATCCACAGATTGTAACCCTAGGCTTCCCAATCGTAACTAACGTTCTTGGCCAATTCGAGTTCTACATCAAGGATGGGGCTGCATAAATGAATCCTCTGAACCCTTCTATCGGAGGTGGCCATATAAACAAATCCCCTTCTGAAACCCTTCTCTGCATTTGTTTGCCCCTCTTTTGTTGTTTAAGAAAAACAGATAAATGGGGAAGGATGTGAGCTTTAAACTAATCAAGAAGGAAAAGGATGGTTTGCTAAGAAAATAGGGTGGACGTTGCTCGTCGCAATCAAGGTTTTAAATTGCGTATTGCGTAGTCATGGTGTTTTATTATTATTGCCTATTGCGTAAGCCTCATTGCGCAATGAGGCGTAGACCTGAGGCGTAAAATGCATATATGTGTGTGTCTTTTAATATTAACACATAATTTAAATAATACGAAGTATTAACAAATTTCACATTAACAGAAAATGAAGATAATACCCAAATTTATATTAATATTAAAAGTAAGATAATATGTGAAATATAATTAACTTTATATATCCATTATCAAAACAATTAAAGAATTTGTTAACTGAAAATCTGAACTTAAGATTATAGAAGCACCTGTTATTAAAGAATGATAAGATAGTATCTAGTAACTGAAATTGAGATTAAAGGACTAAAAGAAGCACTTGTGATTAATGAATAATATCAATGAACTGAGGTTATCAAAACGATGGACAACCATATACTTAATATTACTAAAATTAAGATAAATGTAGAAATGTAGAATTAACTTTCTATATCAATTATCAAAACAATTACAGGATTTATTGACTGAAGTTAAGATTAAAAAAGCACATGTGATTAAGAATAATATCAATTATCAATTAACTGAAATTACTAAATAACGTTTGACAACCATGAATCATATTCGTAGTATTACTAACAAAAAAATTGAAGTCAAATTATAGAAGAAACATGTGTGATGAAGCAATTGAAGTATTAAGAAGCCTGGGGGAACACTGTCAACAAATAATTGATGGAGAGGAACACTTTTGGCAACCATGACTGACACATAGTTAAGCAGCAGTGAAGGGAATAAATAGGTACACGCAGGACGAGGTAGGCTGTCGCACTAAAAAAATAAAAAAGTGGGCCATATCGGCCCACATATTGCTTCAACTGTTAAGGCGCTTGCCTTGAGGCACAGTACGCATTGCGTACGCCTCTGCGCAACAACGTGTAAGATTACAGACCTCCGCCTTTAGCAATGCAATAATCCGCCTTTCTCTCTGAATTTACTGTTGCGCGCCTTATTGCGGTATTGCATTGCGCAATTTTAAACGATGGTCGCAATCCTTTAATTGCGGAATCATGAAAAGTTGGAGGGGTAATTGCATTTTTTTTAAGTTCATGTATCTGGTTGAAGGCTCTTGAAGGTGAGGGTCCAATTGCTGAATCATGAGGAGTAGTTGAGAGGCCAATTTGACCTCTGTGTTTTTGTTTGTTTTCTTAGTGTTCATGAGCAAGTTTATCTAACCTTAAGAAACAAATGTACCTTTTTGATGTATCATTTAAGACTTAAGTCTAAGTCAATTGAATAGGCCTTAAGTCTAAGTCAGTTAAGACTTATCACTTATGCCAACCTTAAATGGCTCACACATGAGTCATGAATGATGCATATGATCAAAAATCAAGCAACTAACGGCTAAATATCAAAGAACACCCATAAGAGAGGCTGTGCGACCACCAAGACCACTGAGTGACCATCAATACGACCACCAAAACCGTAAGTTACGCTTATGAGATTATATGTATTATCGTATCGCGTGTACTGTAATATTTAATATGATATTACTATATTTGTTTTATTATCATATTCTGTACACAGTAATATGTGTACTGGTTATTAAGTTGATTAAATGTGTTTGATTATGATTGATTTGATACTATTATGGGATGTATTACATGTTAATTTAGATTTGGTTATTTAACTTTTTTATACTGGTTATTTTTAATGTTTCGTGGCTACACCATGTACGTGTCATCGCCACGGCAAACTGCCCCCATACTACAGTGATCGCCATACGCCTCGACATCTATGCTTAGACTACTCAAAGTCAATGTAAATAGATAATAGTAAATTAGTAATGGGGTCCAAAGGTTTATCAATGCGATTTACTCTTTTGTAGTTTTCAGTATAATTTTTATAGAAATTATATTGCACAAAAATGAGCAAGCTAAATAGCTAATAAACAACACGTTCAGGAACATAAGGAACAAGTATGTCTGTGAATACGAAAAATGCTTGTTTGTGAACTTTAATTAGTTGAGCACCTAAGTGCTTATTCGCTGTTCAATTAATAAACGAACTCAAACTTTTGTTTGGTTATGTATATTAACGAGCTTGTTCAGGAATTATCTATTCAGTTGAGCCCCTCGTATGAGTGAATAAGTGTAGATGTGTAATAGACAATAATGAGTAAAAACTAACAAGGAAATGTATTTGTCCATTATGTTTCTCTTAGTTTCGTCTAGTGGGGAACTTCAGAGAAATTTTGTGGCTTCCTTAACTTGGTCTTTTTTCACGAACATGATCCGGAGTTATTTGTCGATCCATTAGATAGGGTTATCAACTTGTCATTGTGGGATCTATACTGAATTCATTCAGTTCTCAGTAATTGCTGCTGGTTGCAGCATTGGAAATAGCGCAAGCCTGAATGGGGAGCAAAAACAATAAACCCCCACCTCCCTTCATGCGACGCCCTCCTCTAGGGCCAAACACTCTCCATCCTGATCCATATGGCCCTTCGTTACGACCTCCACTTGGTGGCTTCCCTCCATTTGAGATGCTTCATCCTCATCCAGAAGTCTTGGAGCAAAAGCTTGCCACACAACATGCCGAGATGCAAAAACTTGTTACAGAAAACCTCAGACTTGCTTCTACACATGAAACCTTGCGGCAAGAGCTTGCCGCTGCGAAGCAGGATCTGCAACAATTGCACACTCAAATAGGGGCTATGAAAGCCGACAAGGAAAACCAGATGATGGGGCTTAAGGATAAAATTGCTAGGATAGAGGCTGAACTAAAATCTGCAGATCCTCTTAAAGTGGAACTGCAGAAGGCACGAGCTGAGGCTCAAAGTCTTCTTGCTGAAAGGCAGGAGCTTATTTTGAAAGCACAGAAGATGAGTCAAGATATTCAGAGGACTCACGCTAACACACAACAGATTCCTCTTCTTCTATCTGAGCTTGACGCACTAAGACAGGAGTACCAGCATTGCAGGTATTTTTTTCACTTTCTGGATGCATGAAATGTAGCAGTGTAGTCGAAAATGTAGGTCAGGCGCAGGAGGCTCATGCATCGTAATGAGGTGCTAGGCGAGCTCTTATCGCTCCTTTATCTGTTTCTTCATGTAGTCTTTGTTTGCCCCTTTGGTTATGGGCTTAAGTCTAGATATTTTTAAAGTCCTATATGTAAAGCCTATCAGCCCACTCAATTGTCAACAACATCCAAGCATATCAGCCCACCTAATTGTCAAACCATAAAATAAGGCTCCATCCTAATGAAATGCCAAATGGTAGTTCTCTTGATCCTGAAGCAAATTTAAATGTAAATGTTGATTCTGTTTCTGTTCTTATTTTTTTAATCTTATATGTCATCTCTCCTTTCTTCTTTCATCCTTCTCCATCATTTATTTTCCGGCTCGGCTGCTCCAGTTTCTAACAATAAAAGTCTAGCATGAATTGTGATGTTGACGTTTTATTCAAGATATCCCTCATATCCTTTATGTGATGTTTATGTTGTTGGTGCATTCTGTTTAATTTGATATTGAATATCATGTTTGTTCGAATCTGAGAATAGTTTATAGTACATAATTATTTCCAACTTGTGCACCTCACATGAATCAGTTTGAGTGGTTTTTGGGTACATTGTGCCCAGCATTAGACCCTTTTGTGCGTGACTACAAAATTTTTCATTTGACCACCTTGAATATGAAGTTCTTCATTGTTAAGGAGACTGATCAATGTCTATGGCCCATACCTTAGTTTTAAAAGGCGCAAGGCGGCATGAAGCGTTTTTGTTGAATTTTGCCGAGGCGCGAGGCGGAGGTGCACGCCTCATGGATACCCCTACACCTGAAGTCCTGAACTATATTTATGCTACTTTATACCCTCTAACTAAAACTTAATACTCCGTATTAAACAACCTAAAAATTCCATTAATCATCAAACAATGTTAACAAACTTAATAAAGATCAAAAGGAGAAACAAAATAAAGATTCAAGTATAACAAATAATCTGCCCTAAACATCAAGCATTATAACGCTCTAATTAAATACTCCGTATTAATCATGTATAAACCAAACAAGGTTACAAGGTTTAGAACCAGAACAATGACACTAGAAAAAAGGCTTCACTTTGAATTTTTTGATCTGTGGAGCATAAAAGAAGGGGAGAACAAAAAGGAACACAAAAGCATAGGGAAAATACAAAGAGATTAAGAGAAGAAGAAAAGATCGTGAGAAGAAGAGAGATTAATAGAGAAGAGGAGAAGAAAGATAGGGAAGCACAAGGTAGTCAAAAGCGCGTGCCTTGTCGCTTAAGCGCGCCAGGCGCAGCGAGCAGGGACTCCAGCGCTTGGAAGAAGGGGAGGCGCACACAGATGGGTTAGGCGCAGCTTAAGCGCAGAAGCGAAATAAGTCGCGCGCTTGGGGGGCCCTCGGTGCGAATAAGGCTGACAGCCTTTTGTTTTCTTTAAAAATGATTAGCCCATATATGTAATAAGTAATAACACTCAGCCCATCTAAATAACAGGGTAAAACAAGTAAAACATGCATAAAACCCCTTGAGTCACGTATGAAAAGATGTAAAACCCAGCGTAAACAACCAAGTTTTTTCGCTAAACCTCAAGTCACTAAACATTGCTATCAGTCTACTCACTCTCTTCAGTTCATATTCTCAAGCAACCTCAATTTCCTCACAGCTCTAAATAAGGTATGTGTTCTTTTTATGCAGACCTCTTCATCCAATATTATAGACTGATATAGACATACAGTCTTATTTTTCCATCATTTGCAATGGAGCCAAAGATTCATTATTTTTTGGCTTGAGATTATGATGGAATAAAGCAAAATGGCTCACTAAACTGTCTGCGCTTCTTTGTTATGAAGCAGCAGTCATTCCATGCAATTTTGGACGTGATTTTCACGAAGGGTCATCCGGAAACAGTCCTCTCTGTGCTTTAGTACAGGGGTAAGGCTGCGTACATCCGACCCCCCCTTACCCCACCGTAAGTGGGAGCCTTTGCGGCACTGGGGTAAATGAAAATGATATAGACATACTGTCTTATACTCATACTACACTAGTATCTAAATACTATTGTCTAAATGTGTAATAAACTAATAATACAAGTATACCACTTATTGAGTTATTGGTATATAAGTATATTACTAGCATACTATGTGTATACTACTAATCGTAATATAGTAGTAGTACACTGTAATGTGTATATAATACTCTGCTTTGTGCTTTTCCAAAGATGTAATCCCAGGTTTTCATATTTTCATCACAAGTCACACACTCACACCAAACACATAAACATTTATCAGTTTTTTTTTTATCTTAAATTTCTGATTTTATGTCATTAGGTTGATCACTAGATAGTATCGTACGTTTGAAAAACTGTCTCATTTTAATTTAAATAAAATACTCAGCTTTGTTCTATGCATTTGGTTCAATATGATGTTACATCATATTTGGTAATTATAGAATAGTATATGTGATATTTTCTAAGTAATGCGCTTCACCCGAGTCAGGCGAGCGCTTTAATTGCGCCTTGCGCTGGATGGCCACTAGCGCTTCAAGTGCGCCTTTCGACTTTGACTACCTTGGGGGAGCATATGAAGAAGAAGATGAGAAGGAAAAAACTTACGAGTTATATGATATTAGTGACTTTGCGTAAAGAAGAAAGGGGCAGAAGAGTGATATGTGATATTATTATCATATTATCATATTAAAAGAGAAGCTGGAGTTCTGATGGACTCTGAGGACTTAGGATGTACACGACTAATATATAACCTACCTATGAAAATTCTAGGTCCAGGCATGAGTCGGCAAAACTCAAACAATTAGTCAGCAAAAACCTAGAAGCGCAGAAGGCGACCGACTCTTGAAGCGCAAAAAGCGGCTGGAAGCTAGGGATTAAGCGCGCCTACAGGAACCTGCTGCGCCCAGGATTCTTGTTGCGATTTTTCTAGAGCCTGGATGCGCCTTGCGCCTAGTTATTAGGTTAATGTATACACTCCAACCATTCTAATTTGGCATGGTTGCACTACCTTTTTATGATTTTGATATTCTTCTAACAGTAGAAATCCCCTTCGGCCACTTTACTCTTTATTGAGCCTGCTCGCAATTCTATAATCCTCGTGCACTTTGCATGTCATATGTAGTCATTAGTCAATTTTTAAAGAAGCAATTTTCAATAACCTCGTCCCATGGTTTTGTTTTGCTGGAACAAGAGTCAGTACATAGAGTATCAAATATAACCCAGTAAAAAGAATCGGTACTTCACATTACTAGAAAGAGAAGTGTAGTTCTGGTTCTTACAACATCAAATATAATAATCATTGGGGAATGGGGGGAAGCATACATTCACTGCATTGGGCATTTGGGTGTCTCTCACTTCAAAAAAAGGTGCACGGGGGTGTCAAGAATTTCGCATCAACAGTTCAGGACTCAACAGATTCTAGAAGCTGCTCACATCATGCTGCCTCCACGTGCATCATGAGGCTCTTGCCTCTGCCGCGTCACGAGTATAAGTCTATTTTTGTATTAATTAAATCTAATTACCGAGCATGCACTTCCCATAAACCAGAAAGGACTCTCCTTTATCAGCAATTTGATTATCGTTCTGTTCCTCTTCTTAACAACGTCGCAGCTGCACATATCAACACCGCTACTTCAGTATTATCCTCCTAATTCATCTCCTTCTCTTTCTATTTTCCCACGGGGTCGTGTTGGTTGCCTTTGTTATACATGCTATTGTGGACTTTTAATGCCTTTCTCCTTGTGTTCTGCACAGTTGCGGGAAACCAATAGACTACTATTTTCGGACTTTTATATGTAGATTTAATGTGATGTTCAATGTTTTCATCGCTTAGTTTGCTTTTATTTAAATTGTGAATTTATATATCTGAAGTTGTTCATTTTGTTTCTAATGTGATTGTTTGCCCATTTCATCTTGAGGTTTTGAGATTTAAGTTGGCTTCTTATGATATTGTGTTTAATTGTTTGATGATAAGATGATCATATTACTGTGTTTGAGTATAATATATCGTGCTAAGAAAGATGTGTGCCTATGTGGGGTGAGGTGCAACACCTCTGCTTTGTGCCTCGACTAAGATGTATACCTAAAACGCCTCGGCACGCCTCACGCCTTTTATAACCAAGATTGGCTCGTTTTATGGAAATTATTTAAATTAAATAATGTGGAAGTCGCTGATGGGAAGTGCCTTGGTGGATAACTGATACTCATTACTCATTTCTGCATTGGCGGAAATTGTGTCCCTAATAATCTTTTCCTACTTTTTTTTCTTTTTTCTCCCATGTAACTTTTTATTGATAGCTAATTCCTGATACCTGACAAATTTGCCAATGCAGGGCAACTTATGAGCATGACAGGAAATATTACCACGATCACCTTGAATCCCTTAAGGCGATGGAAAAGGATTACATGACCATGGCAAATGAAGTTGAAAAGCTTCGGGCAGAGTTAAATAATACTACTAATTTAGACAGAACTGGTTGGTCAATCTTTTCTACCACTCATTTTGGTTGGTCAATATTATTAATTAATTACTGACTGCATACCACTATTTTTTGGAGACTCAAAGGTGGCACACATAAGAAAAGTGGAATTATGCGATTGCTATTGAATTTGTGAAGAATAAAGATTTTTTGGACCACACAAATATTACTAAGTATAATAGTATGGGAAAATCTCAGAAAAATATGAGACAAGATAGGGGCGGATTGAGTAATATACTTATAGAGTTCACTTGATTTTATTGAATCAAGTAAAGCAGTACACAAAATTTGGCACAAAGGCTTTCAATTCATGCTCAATATGTAGTCTGTATTAAATAAATAATACTCCCTTTGTCCCACTGTAATTGCCCACTTTTCCTTTTCCATCCGTCCCACCAAATTTGTCCCATACCATATTTGGTAATATTTGTTTAGCTCTAATTCTTTTTTACTTTATTCTCACTTGTCAACTCATTATCAACCACATAATTCGGCTTTTCTTAAAATCACCACCACTCCCTTCTGTCCCAATATTAGGGGGGCGGAGTTAGTACATAACACGTGCGTATAGGTTCTGTTTTTTAATAAAAAACTAATGTTGTATTTAGTGGCTTTAGACCATATTATATACGATAGTATACTTCATCCATTTATAATTACATTTTGACTTTTTAACTAATCAGGCACCTTAATTTGATCATGTTTTTCTACTAATATATATAAACCAAATCATGTTATCAACAATATTCTAAAATTTCTCTTAATTGAAATATTCAAAATATTAACTTTTATTACTTGTACACATACATAGTAAATAAAGTGATGGTCAAATTCGTGCTTTGGCAAACACAAAAGCTAAACTGTTGCAATAAAAAAGAACAGGTAGTATAGCATGTGTGTAATTTTGTTTTTTTTTTGAGAAAAACTAATGTGGCATTTAAGTGGATTTATTTAAGTGACAGTCCTTCTATTGATATATCACCCAAGTTTTGTGTAATACAAATGCAGGTGCAACTTATGGTAACTCTTTGGCTCATAATGAAAGTGATGCTACAAATACTTACCCAGTTGCTACACAAAATGTTTATGGGGATGCCTATGGGGCAGCTCAGGTTTGTGCCTTATCTGCATGTACCTTTTGTCACTACTTCACTTTAGTTGTTTGGTCGTGTAATAAACAAAGTGCACTCTCTAGATATGAAAGTTTGTTTATGAACGTTGTGCTTTATACTGTCAAGTCCTAAAATGATCTTCTGCAAATGAACTGCTTACTCTCCGAGTCTCTGGCATGATTTGTTGAAACAAACAAATAAACAAGGAGAGAACATACTTGTGCAGGCAACTACTTCTTTCTACTTTCTTTTTCTCATCTCATCAAGAACTACAAATCAAATATGACCGAGTGTATTTTACATATTACCTCTCTACTTTACCTACATTTTCTAATCAGCTGTGCTAGATCAATTACTAACTAACTTCTCGAACAAGTGTCGCTTCAAACATTTACAAACATATTAAGGTAACACTACAGTTTCTAAGTTCAAGATTAATCTACCGTAAAATGCTAAAATTACTAGACTACTCCTCATCTGCATGAAACATAACTCATATAAAGAGTTTAAGTACTGTGAATTATTTAAAGATGGAGAAGGGCAATAATGGAAAGTGAGCAATTAATGCTCTTGATTTGGAATTTTCTTCTAAAACATTAAAGGAAGCCAGAACTGGTGCAGTATGAACTTTAAATCTGGATGAAGGAAGTATTTGTTTATCATAATTCATAACCAATTCAATAACACATCTATTGTGGAATTCAATAAACTTTATAGTTTTTCATCATCCTACATATATCTACATATGGTCAGAAAAATGCAATGTTTTATATGAATTTTGTTTTGGACCAATGCGAATGTTATCTAGTGGGCTATTTATAGTCGTTCCTGGCTCATGTTGTTTAAAGTTTAGCTCATCATCCTTCATAATCTACACATGGTAAGAAAAAATGCAATGTTTTATATGAACTTCGTTTTGAAATCATTGTGAATGTTATTGACCAACAGCTTTTATCCAATTCCAACGCAGGGACGGGCCCATCTTGCAACTATGCCAAATGTTAGCGGAGTTGCGGGTCCTGTCAGCAATTCTCCAAATTTTGCGCCACCTGCTTCTGGAAAACTGGCTCAGGACGCCTCAAAAATGCCCAATTACGACCCACAAAGAGGACGTGCTGGTCCTGGGTATGATCCACAAAGGGTGACCAGTGGACCAACAGGAGCTAATTATGATGTACAGCGAGGTGGGCCGGGGTATCCTGGATATGATGGATACAGGCCACATGGATATGATGCAAGTCGGAGTTCTGGCTATGATTATTCAAACGCGACCAATTATGAGGCGGGCCATGACACGACTGGTGTGGGGATGGGTGCGGTTGGAGGTCAAGGGCAAATTGGACTTCCAAGAAATCCGGTATATGGGTCATCAGTGCCGTCCGTGAATACTGCAACAGGTTACGATGGAGCACAGCGAGGTGCGCATAGATAATTTGGCCAGAAACATCTGAAGTTCTATCCTCCGAATAGCTTCTTGATTTATTTCTCAAGTTTCGGATAATTTGTACTCCCAATGTTCATTTCAGTTAAGATTAACCCGCGGCTGGAGATTTTATGAAGACTGAAACTTTTTGGAGCCACTGTTTTTATTATTATCTCATAAGCGAGTCGCACAACACATGCATGTTGTTGCTAGAAACATTGTTGTAAACAGTGATTCCATGTTTATTACTGGGTAGTATAGTTTTTTTTAAAAAATCACTTGATGAATGCATTTAGTCAAAGATTGAAACCTTGATATCTGGTTTTGTGATTACATTTTTTAGTCCAAGATACCAAGGCATAATGTTTATGCCTTGTCGTTTTGCCAACAGTGAATTATTGTAAACCATTGATTTGTCGCATATAAGTGAGAGAATCAACGGTCTAAATCTAGAAAAATGCTACTTGTACATGTTGTTTTACACGTCGGTTAATCGGTTTACATGCTCAAGTGTAATTGTTTGTTATGTCGGTTTACACTTTACTGTCTTTACATGCTCAAATGTAATTGTGACGATAACACTTGGTGATTTGGGCGTGTAACACACAATGTGTACAAGTAGCACAATTGCTAAATCTATTGATCTTCAAGAACACCGTGATGGTAACAAAGTAGCAATACGTAGCTAGGTAACAAATTACCCATACATTGATACATAGATACTAGATAGGGATCATGAGAAAGCGTTTCAGAATAATTACACGTAATATGACATTTTTTAGACAGGTATGAAATATACTCCCTAGTTAAAATAGGATATTGGAGTTCTGCAAAAGACAAATTATTACAATTAATAAATGGAAATATACTCCGTAGTTAATTATAGTCTTGACTCATGTTCCTTTTAAATTTTAATCAAGATGATAATTAACTCTTGCTGGAGCTCAATTGTGCTCGTTTGAGCATCACTGATTCAACTACCAAACCAGTTTTATGATTTCATAGTTGTTTCAAGAGGTTGAATCCTCAACCGAGAGGGTCCCTCACGTTCCGACCCGACAGAGCATACGAGAACTTATCAATCATGGTGACTCAGCTATACACAGAAGCTGAACCAGTGTCTATTGTAGGGATGGACTCGGGTCCGGGTCGGGCCTAGCCCGGGCGGGCCGGCGGTTCAAGAATAGTGGACTCGGGACCGGCCCGGGTAGCCACCGGGTCCGGGCCGGGCCTCCGGTTTGGAATTTTTTTTTTTGCTTTCCTAACCCCCCCCCCCTCACCCCCCACCCTCCCAAACCCCCCCAAACCCATCCTACCCATCAAGCCCAACCCGGGTGGAACCCCAAAAATGAAAAAAAAAATAAAAAAATTCAATTTGGCCCGGGCCCGACCCGGCCGGGCCGGTTCACCAAAATTGAGACCCGAGCCCGGACCCGCCCTACCCCCGGGCCTAGGCCGGACCCGGACCCGAGAACCGGGCCGGTCCCGGTCCCGCACAGTAGCGGGCCGGGCCGGTCCACGGACCGAGTGGCCCGACCCGAGTCCAACCATAGTCTATTGCGCACATGTAGTCCCATAACATTGAGATGTTACTCCAAACTGCCGCTTGCGAGACTCGATCCTGAGCCACTTGTTTCAAATTTCACCTCTGATTAATGTGGATGTCTTCACACAATAATCATGTCTATGCTTTGATATTCTAAATGAACCTAATATTGAATAAGAATTAAATGCCAATGTAATATATTAAATTAATTACTACAAGGGAAAATTCAATTACATAGTCACATGTGATATTGAAGAATCTTTTTGCTTCACTGTATGACATAAATTGATACATAAATGATCAAGGATACTAAAACTTAAATTTTATCAGAAATTGTGCTCGGGGAATCGGAAATTGGAAGATCAGAAGCAAGAACAATGTCATCCTTGTTGATCTCCATTTCAATTCTGATGCTTTTGCTCTTCTCTAGCTTATCGTATTCACCGGTCAACTCCTTTCTTTTCACACCTTTTCTTCTCTTCCTCTTCGTTCCCATGAGTTGATTCTTAGCCTTCATAACCAAATTTCTCAACACTTTTATCACCATCCACAATCTCTATATGCTTAAGCCTTTTGACTTGAATTGGCTCTAAATCTGACCTGCAACTAAAATGAGAAGTATTTTTGTTTGTATTATACAAATATAATATAGTTAAAAAAAGTAAAAATATTAGAGAATATTTACGATGAGTCGATGAGGAGCTGTATTCCATATATGTGTTCAAAGAATGTAGTGATGAAATCCTTGATTAATTTCATACCAATTTGGCTACGTAGGAAGTTATTAATGTCAATCCATCCATGCCACACGGTACGTGAATGAGCTTTAAATTGGTATCGATCACTAAAAATTACGTATATAGTATGTACAAAGGTTTGAAAATTCCAAAACAGATTATAATGTTTTTATTTCCAAAATAAAAGTATTTACTACTAAATTTGGAAAATACTGTCATGTTTAAAGTTTGGTACTTCTAAAACATGACAGTAATTACTAATTAGTCCTATTTTGAAAATAAAAAAATGATAGTCCTATTTTGAAATATTAAAACATTTTTAATCCTAATTAGGGGAATTACCCATACAAAAACTACATACTAATGTAGTGATGTGCATATGTAATAGTAAAAATTCAAATGACTTAATTGGATACAAATTTGCTTTTTGCAATGAAAATCAAATACATACCTTAGTCATGTAAAAGTGTAATGTACTTAATTTGTATCTTTTTAGTTACAATAGTTTAATTTTAACACACAACTAAGTCTTTGACCATTGATATATTTCATTCATTATTATTAAAAAAATTAATGAATTCAGATTTGAAAAACTAAAACAAGAAAAATTTAACAAGTGTTTTTTAAAATTTAAATTTCAAATACATTAATAAATAAATGTAGTCAATAAAGAGCATGTGAGAATGAGTAGTGGTTGATTTTTATTGTTCATTTTTGAAGTTTTCTTTTCAAAAATTGCTGTTTTTATTATATGTGTGAGTAAAAACTCCGTATTAAATGGAATTAAAGGTAGAAAAATGATACTCCATCCGTTCTTTATTATCTGTCCTCTTAGGCTTTAGCACGAGTTTAAGTGAAAAATAATAGGAGTATTGTAAAAGGTGTAGTGGGTTGTGAGTAAATGAAAAAGTAGGAAAGATCGAGAAAGGGGTAATGGAAATAAAAGTTATAAATGTATTTTGATTGAAAAAACTTCCCAAAAAGGAAAGAGTGACAAATAATTAAAAACATACCAAAAAGGAATACGAGACAACTAATAAAGAAAAGAGGGAGTACATAACTCAAGTACAATAAACAATTACATCAGTTCTGTACATATAATTCTGTGCATATATACTATCTAAGTTCTCAGCTTTAACGCAATCGATTAATCATCCTCTCCTTAATAGCACTCCAATTCCACCCAAAAAATTCCCGCTCACCTAAACTTTTCATAACACCCGTCCGATTCTCATAAACTAAATAAACTGCTTCTACCTTTCACATTCATTTTGTTTCTCTTTCGATCAGTGCCTTCTACGGAGATCTACCCTTTCTCAAAAATCCTCTCCTTAATAGCACTACAATTCCACCCAAAAAATCCCCCCTCACCTAAACTTTTCATAACACCCGTCTCATTCTCATTAACTAAATCAACTGCTTCTACCTTTCACATTCATTTTGTTTCTCTTTCGATCAGTGCCTTCTACGGAGATCTACCCTTCCTCAAAAATCCTCTCCTTAATCCTCTCCTTAATAGCACTACAATTCCACCCAAAAAATTCCCGCTCACCTAAACTTTTCATAACACCCGTCCGATTCTCATAAACTAAATCAACTGCTTCTACCTTTCACATTCATTTTGTTTCTCTTTCGATCAATGCCTTCTACGGAGATCTACCCTTTCTCAAAAATCCTCTCCTTAATAGAACTACAATTCCACCCAAAAAATTCCCCCTCACCTAAACTTTTCATAACACCCGTCTCATTCTCATAAACTAAATCAACTGCTTCTACCTTTCACATTCATTTTGTTTCTCTTTCGATCAGTGCCTTCTACGGAGATCTACCCTTCCTAAAAAATCCTCTCCTTAATAGCACTACAATTCCACCCAAAAAATTCCCGCTCACCTAAACTTTTCATAACACCCGTCCGATTCTCATAAACTAAATCAACTACTTCTACCTTTCACATTCATTTTGTTTCTCTTTCGATCAGTGCCTTCTACGGAGATCTACCCTTTCTCAAAAATCCTCTCCTTAATAGCACTACAATTGCACCCAAAAAATTCCCCCTCACCTAAACTTTTCATAACACCCGTCCGATTCTCATAAACTAAATCAACTGCTTCTACCTTTCACATTCATTTTGTTTGTCTTTCGATCAGTGCCTTCTACGGAGATCTACCCTTCCTAAAAAATAGACGGAATCATCTGCTTGGAAATCATCCGAAAAATAGATGGATATTCATCTAGCTGAAATCATCTCCGCAGATCAGCCAAAAAAGAAATGGATATTCCTTCATTCAGATGCATTCTTCTTTCTTCATCTTCCTGAATCCTCTTAGCCGAAAGCATATTGGCCGAAGTCCATCCGATTCAAACTGAGATCGAGGTAAGTTATTCTTCTAAATCATATACTCCTTTTTTATTTTAAATTGATATCCAACTTGGAATTCTTAGGTTTATATAACTTAGAAGATTGTTTCAGATTTTGCAAGGAAGGTGTTTGTTAAAATTCCTCAATCACGTATCACTTTCTACAATTATATTTTTCATCCTTGCTATTGTATATTGACATTTGGTAATATAATTGTTGTTTTCTTCATTTTTGTATGGTGAAATTATCAGGTAAAACTAATCATTGCTCCATCTGGTGGATTTGCAATTGACTCCTCCCTCGGGTGAGTAAAGGAATTGAACATTGCTATGTCCTTAGGGTTAGATGTCCTTTCATCCTCTTTTTGAATGTCATATTTTTCTTCTATCTTCCATTTTCCTATTTCGTTTATTTTGTAATTGACATCATTTTTCAGTTTTAGTTTTCTGAAACTGGTTCTTTGACATTTCACAATTTACTTAAACATCATTACAATTTTCCATTTTCCTAATATGTTTTGGGGAATGGCATTTTTCATTGGTGGGTGATAAATTGCTCCTCACTAAAGTCTTCACTTTTAAGCTTCCCTTTGGTATATAGGGTTTCATTTAATATCTATCTTAGCTTTCTCTCATTAGAGAACTTCGAGCACATACTTTTAAATTTTGAATGATGTCTGAAACAAACAGTAGTGAGAAGTTCCTTATACTCGGGTTTAGTCTTTCTCTAAGAGATGTGAGTTTTCAGGCCTTTCATGTTTCGGTAGACAATTACCTTTAATAGAAAGCTTTGCGATGTTAATGATCGTAAAGGGAAATTGTTGGAAATCATGGGTGTTTGATGGTGACATTCCTTTTTACGCATAAATCGTTGTACGTTGCAATTTTGAAATCCAATAAAAATATATGGCTTAAAGTTCATGATACACGATGACTAAGGAAATCCAAAAAAGTTACTACCTCTGGGCTCCGTCCCCCCTAATATTAGGACAGAAGAAAGTGGCGTGGTTTTTAAGAAAAGTAAAATTATGTGATTTATAATGAGTTGATAAAGTGAGAATAAAATAAGAATGAATTAAAGTCACACAAATGTTACCAAATATGGTATGAGACAATAATAAAGGGGACATCCAGAAATGAAAAAATGGGACAACTATAGAGGACAAACGGAGTATAATTTATAAAAAGGCATTGTTCACTATGCAGTCTTCAATAATTAATAGTGTGTTTATTAAAATTCTAATAATATTTATTTATAATTACTATCTGTGATAAATAATATTATAATTTTTGAACACATCTACAATATTTGCTTATTACATCCCGTGCAACGCACGGGTGAAATACTAGTATCCATAATTCCATATCAGGCTGTGGATTGAGTTGGGTTTTATTGCTATACCAAGAGTTTTATTTGGAGATATATTTTTAAGAAAATTTTATCAATTCAGAACCCCGAAAGATAGATGAATTATCAATCCGGGACCTGAAAGATGAAATGTATCGATATAGGACCCGAATGATGGAAAACTATCAATTTAGGACTTGAATGATTGGAAAGTATCAATTTAGGATCTAAGTTGTCCGAATTTTATTAATTTTTTTATCTTAATTTTTTTAAATATTACTCCCTCCGTCCCTTATAACTTTGCCAACTTTCCTTTTTTGGTTGTCCCAAAAACTTTGCCACTTTCCTTATTAGTCAATCAATTTGTGGTTTCTGTTATTTCTCTTTCCTTTGCACAAATCTCTACTACACAGTTTTTACTTTATTATTCTACGTGTCAGTCAAACTTAGCAATCCTTTTAGGGACGGAGGGAGTATTTAGTTTTATGAAACTAATAAACTTTTGTGAAGAAAAGTTTATAAAAAATTAGCAATGGAATTAAAAAAATAAATAAATCAAAACCTATGAAATTTTAGGTCCTAGATTGATAGTTTTTCATCATTCAGGTCTTATACCGTAGAATCTCATCTTCCAGGCTCCGAATTGATAATTCATCTAGTTTTCGGGTCATGAATTGATAAAATTCCTTTTAAGATCTAATCTAATAGAAATTGTGTCAAAATCTTATACCTGAATAATACTGTATATGACACATAGTTTTAAAATAGAAGAAAAACATTTTAGAATTTCAAAATATGATTACTATTTTTTTACTCCAGGGGGCGTCTGGGGGAGCCTGGAGTAAACTAGACTTAAACTCACTCCATTGAATTTCAAAATATGATTACTAGTTTTTATTCACTAAATATAAATAATTACTGTTAAGGTTAGAAAATACAATCATGCTTAAAGTTGAGTAATGCCTAAACATGATAGTGATTACTTCTATTTAGAGAGTACAACATGGTTTTCTTATTTAGGAATTTAAAAACGTTTTTACTTTTACGTAAAACAATGTCTTTATAAACTACTGTATAGTAGTCTCTACACTTAGGAGGTCGCATTTATCTTAATATAAAATAAAGGGGTGGGCGTAACGGTTCAGTTTGACCGAACCGAACCGTACCAAACCGAATTAAACTGAACCGAAACCGAACCATTTGTAATTTGGTTTGAGTTTGGTAGTATTCCTCCCAATCCGTATTAAACCGAACCAAACCGAACCGAAATCATAAAACCGAATAAAATCGAACTGATCTAAAAATGAAATAATTTCTATTTTTTTAAAAATAACAAATTAAAACTAACTTACACCAAACTAAACAAAACCAAAATATAAGATTTCTCTCATTAATTTGATTGATGTTAATCTTTTTGAAGCTTTAATTCTTTAATTTTAGTATCCAGGACTAGAGTTTACTACAAGACTTACATTCACAACTATACCAATTATAGTGGTTTAAGTAGATAGTATTTAATTATAGTTTATTATCTACTACTACAATATATTTGATTCATTACTTACAAACACCAATTTTGTTTTTGTTTCGGCTTTATATATAATTTGATTCATTCCCGTTGTTGTTGCTTACAAATGTGTCATGCTTATATATTTTTGGTTCATACGTGTTTTGTTACTGTTTGCAAATTTATATCCAACATTATATTTGGTTCATTACTATCACTTTTTGGTTCATTATTTTGAGTTAATTTTTTTATTTCAATCCAAACCTTAATAATTTGGTAAACCGAACTTCAAACCGAATCGAACCGTACCAAACCGAAACCAAACCGAAACTTAATCGGTTTGTATTTGGTACATTTTCTATCAAACCGATTAAACCGAAACCGAACCGAAACCGAATAAAACCGAACCGAAAACCGAAATGCCCACCCCTTTTATAAATGTATAATTATGTGTTTAGAATATTGTCATCTTAATTTTTTTTAAAAGACCCAGAGTTGTTATCCAATCTTAAGATGTATAGTAATTGCTACACGAAGACTTTGGAGAAATCGGAGATATCTTTTTGGAAACCTTGTAATATAATACGTAGTACTTCATACTTTATATTTATGATTTTTTCAACTGCATTTAAATTTTCTGATGTGGTTTGATTTGATATAATCCAATTTAATTTGTTGTTTTTAAATTTGGTTTGGTTTTTTCTGAACTCGTAAATCATGATCAGTTTCAATCTAGCGGCGGTTGATACTATATTTGATGATTTTGGGTTCAGAATATGTTTCATTTGCTTTGTGTAAGATCCCTCGATGGTCTTTGCCCAAAAAAGATATGTTGTGTTGTATTTTATTGAAGAAAAGGATATAATTCCTTGCAAGAGAAAAAAAGAAAATGACATAATTGGACATTGATGATTTTTTTATTAAATTTAAATAGGGAAAAAGGTCAGATAGACCCTCGAACTTACATATAAAAAAGTCAAATAAGCCCTTATATAAGAGGCTCTGTCCGACTGTCGCCATTTGGGGTGGTTCCTGGTGGAATTTTTTGATGAAAATTTTTAAACATCTTATTTGTTAAAGCTAGTTTACTCATACCAAATTCCAGCTAAAATTTCAATCGAGAAGTCATTCAAACGAATTCTTGAAGATAACTGCGCAGTTATCTTCAAGAATTCATTTGAATGCCTTCCCGATTGAATTGTTAGCTGAAATTTGGTATGAGTAAACTAGACTTAATGAATAAGATTCTAAAAAACTTTCATAAAAAAATTCCACCGAGAACTGCCCCAAATAGTGACGGCCGGACAGAGCCTTCTATATAAGAGCTTATTTGACCTTTTTATGTAAGTTTGAGGGTCTATTTGACCGTTTTCCCAATAGTGATTGTGTTTAGTATATTGTGAATAGAAATACCTATTTGATGTTAAGTAATGGGCCATAGAATAAATGTATGAGGTCAGTTTGTGTAATTTATTCACACCCAATTATATTACTATTAAGGCCGGTCCAATAAGAGGTTTTAAAATTCTCAGCCTAAAATATGAGGGGTGAATTCCCAAATGTAAGGTTTTCGCCCAAAATATGGTGCAACCCAAACCATTTTTTGCTACTAGCCTTAGGTAGCGGCCCATTTAAGCTCCATGAGTACCAACCAGTTCTGCTGCTGCTGCATCTGCCTTTCATTAATTCATAATTCATCATTCAACATCTGAGAAGAAGAACCTCTCCATTCTTCCTTTGGCTTTTCTTAGAACGATGGCTCCTTCTGCTCTCAATCATGTAAGTCTGTGATACGCGTGTGTAGATATCTAATCGCTATAGATCAATCTTTTTCATTTTCCATTTCCTGTCCGTATGAATTTGTGACTTTTTACATGAGCATGCTACTTTTGAAATGACTATACTGCAAAACACCTGACTGAGTCTTCACTTTTTTCCTCTCTCGTTTGATCCATGTGACTTGGATCAAGCGTTTTCATTTATTATTTCCTGTCCGTATAAATTTGTGAGTTTTTACATGAGCATGTTACTTTTGAAATGACTATACTGCAAAACACCGGATTTAGTCTTCCATTTGTTCCTCTCTCGTTCGATCCGTGTGACTTGGATCAAGCCTTTTCATTTTCTATTTCCTGTCCGTATGAATTTGTGAATTTTTACATGAGCATGTTACTTTTGAAATTAGTACACTGCAAAACACAGGATTTAGTATTCAATTTTCTCCTCTCTCGTTCGATCCATGTGATTTGGATTGTACATTGTGCTCAAATGTTGTTGATGATGATAAATTGATGATGATCTTGTTATAGGATTGTTGCCCCGTCATAAAAAATATACTTCTATTGGATTCAGAAGGAAAGCGTGTTGCCGTTAAGTACTACTGTGATGATTGGCCTACGGACAGTGCTAAGCTCGCCTTTGAGAAGTCTGTCTTCACAAAAACTCAAAAGACAAATGCTCGCAATGAAGGTAATCAAAATTAATTTGTTTGTTGGTTGGTTGTTCTTTAACAATGTGTAATACTGCATCTTGAATAAACAGAAAGTATTTCTTTCGGTGAGTGATAAGCTCTTTAAATCTTTAGAGGATGTCTAATAACACTTTACTTTATCTCCCAAAAGGCCAAAATAATTCATTCAAACCAATGCATACTCCAACAGTGCTCTTCAGGTTTGACCCCCTTATTTAAATTTTTAGTAGTAAAACTATGAAATAAAAAATAAATACCATAACAGACAAAATGTAGAACTGTAGAAGACTTAAAATTGTAGAATATTTATCAATTATGAGCAGTGGGGGTGATTAATTCTGAAGGTCCTGTAAAGCTTAAGGACTTTCAGCTTTAGGATCCCAGTGGACTTGCTGTTAATAATCACTTGAAAAGTTTCTTTCCTAATTTATTTACAGACGTTAATACTTTGCTTAGAGTACTGTCTGGGAGAATAGAAATATATCCTCATTGTATGTATCCCTAGATGCTACAAATGCATTCAATTGATACTGTTTACTAAATCTGCTAGCGGACATAACACTGCTTGAGAACAACATCATTATCTTCAAGTTTGTTCAAGATCTTCACTTCTTTGTAACTGGAGCTGATGATGAAAATGAGCTGGTTTTAGCAACTGTTCTCCAAGGTTTTCACGAAGCAGTGACAGTTCTTCTCAGGTATTATTGACCACTGATTAGTTACATAACTATCTTAGGGCGTGATCAGACCAATGATTACACACTCATTGACTCACTCACTCACATTTGACTGTTTCAGGAACAATGTTGACCACCGGGAGGCGCTTGAAAACTTAGATCTGATCTTTTTGTGCCTTGATGAGATTGTTGATGGAGGGTGAGCTGGCATTTGATCTGCATATAATGCTTGGGTTTCATGAATCCCCCCTCTTTGGATGATATAAACTCATCTTAATCTAGGCTTATTTGTCTGGCAGGATGGTTCTTGAAACTGATGGTAATGTCATTGCTTTAAAAGTCGCTAGTCACAATGTGGATGATGGGACATCCTTGTCTGAACAGGTAAACTATCTATTATATTTAATTTATGTGAAAAAGTGTATACAAATCATGCTTTGTTTGACATCAATGTTGTAAAAGGGACATGTCATCCATCAGACAGCATACTGGTCTACTGAAGTCTTACGCCTAATTTAGACACTTGATTACCCAACTGACCCATGCCTTAAAATATTAAAATTAGTTAAAAGGGATGATGGGAAGTGGTGGATAGTTAAAAGGGTGTTTCTGTCTCTTTTCTTATGAGTAGTTATGAAGATCGTTTGTGAAACTGGTGGATAGTTAAAAGGGCTCTTAGGAAAGTATGCATCAAACTCTTGCAAACGAGATAGCCAGATAGGTGTCTTATAACTACACACACTACTGTGGGCCGATTTAATCTTGTTTTAACTGCTGTTATACTTGTTTTTTTTCCAGACGATATCTCAAGCATTGGCAACTGCACGTGAACATTTGACAAGATCACTTCTCAGATAGATGAAGAATATTCATTGTCTGAAGTTTAATCACTTCTCAAGATCACTGATAGATCATGATCACTTATAGATTCGTTTGACAAGATCACTTCTCAGATAGAAGTATATTCACTGTCTGAAGACTTATGGATTTGTTTTATTCTTTAAGGATATTCATGATTTTTTGTATGCCCCACACCCCTATTTAAAGCCTAATTTCGGATTTGCGAAATTTACTTGGATCTTTTTAAAAAATAATTTGTCAGTATGTATAGTTGTAAGAATTTCAAAGCGAGTTTGAAGAAATATCTAAAATAATTTTAATTTGTCCAAGTATTCTTTCCTTGTAGTCCTTCAGGTGGTTTCCCACTTCCTCCTTTCCTCTCATTCGCCAGAGTCCACATACCTGACAGGCTGACAAGCTCACCAGCACCGAAGTCCCATGAGTTCTGAGTTGTGAATATGTGATGATCCAACTTCTAGTAACACTATTCTTGGTAAAAAAAATACTTTTAAAGTTATTTACAAAAGCTCATCCATTTTTTTGTGGATGTGGCGATGTGCCCCTTTTTGGCTGTCCACAAACCACAACTATTCACATGTGGTGTGAAAGAGACTCCAGAAAATGATCTTATCATACGCAACTTGCAAATGGTGCGAGAAATTCTGATTGACAAAATGTATTTCATATTCTATTTTTTCTCAATTGTCAAATGTAGTTCCTACTTCATTTCAAATAAATGCACTTGAAGTTTGTTTTTAATACTTGTATAAAATTTATACTGTATAAATAATTAAAAAAATTGAATTTACCCGGTTCGACCCGGCCCGGGGGTGGCCCGACCCGTGACCCAGGCAGGTGGCCCGGCCCGAATCGGAACCGTCCACACCTGGGCCGGTCCCGGGCCCATCAATTAGAAACCGGCGGTCCGGCCGGCCCGGACCCGACCCGAATCCATGCCTAGGCCAAAGTAATTTTTTAGAAATATATAATAATTCTTTTTTTAGGGGGGTCGTGTGCCCCCGGGCCTCTTCACTTCATTTTTGTATTGATGCTGAACATGCCATGTGGCAATTATTCGGACTATAGCCATTTGTGAAGAACATCAATGGGAAAAATTATAGTCCTGTTTCAGGAATTTTGTTATCTTACTCATGTTTAAAAAATCATTTAATTTTAGATTCATCCGGTTTTGTTTTACATTTTGTGACAAGAATTTAGTTTTAAAAGGGATACAAGTTTACTTCGGAGAGCCTATGACTATAGACCAGGTTATCACGACTTTTATTACAAAGTTAAAAACTTATAATCTATGCTCGTAGTAAAGATGCTATCGTCATGACCTCAACACTAGAGTACACTCACACACAATTCATAATTTTTTTCGAGAAATTGAGACTAACCTTAAAGTCTTAAGGTTTATGACACATCAATGAAAATTTCGCCAGTTTTATTAGAGGTTTTCATGAATGATTTATTACGCAGGCTTACAGCTTTTTATTCTATTAATATAAAGTCAAGGATTTTGCTCGTATTTAAGAAGTCTTAGCTTATGTTGGGTTATGAAGATAGGAGAATGAGAGTAATGAGTGAGAAAGATAGACATATGAGAGAAATAGTGCAAAAAATGGAAGATTTTGTTTACTGTTTCGTAGGAGAATATTGGATAAGAAGCTCGTAGAAATTGGGAGTAAACTTATTTATCTCCTACTTCTCACCATAAAAAGAAAAAAGGAAAGTTGGGCACACCATTTCATTTGTTTGCTACCCATTTGTCTTCTTACCAAACAACATTCTTCATTTTCTCTTTTCTTTCTCCCCTATTTAACCTTAACCAAACAAAGACTCAATGACAGTCTCAGGAGCTCACTGCCCTGAGACGTATGACTCCGCAGCTAAAACCTCCTACTTTTGCTTCTAAAAACTATCACATTTCAAATGCTATGCTATCACAACTCACAAGTGAATTTTTTTTAGCTCAAACAAATTTGTTAGAAGTTCTAATCACTTTATGTATAATGTTTTTAAATTTATGTACTATAGATTACAAGTTCATAAACAAGCAATTCATGACAAAGCCTTCTGTTTTGTTATGAGCATGCTTTTATGCATTTGGCAGTACATCACTTATCAAAATGAAATTTTGATGAAAACTAAGATATGTAGAGCGAAAATATAAACAACAAAAGCTGCCCTTAGCAAAACTTGCTTCGGAATGCTCTCAGTTCGGCCAGCGTCCTGATATGAAGGGGGTTTCTGACGAGGGTCAACGATGTAATCTGACATGTGTCCTCTGTCAAAGCTGTTTCTTCCATACCTGCTCCTTGCATTAATCATGTCTGTGTTGCTAGTCACAGACCTCCGCTGAAGGCCATTCAATCCTTCTAGTTTCATTTCTTGTGTATGAATCTCATTGACTAAGCCTTCTGCTTGCGCCTAAAAGAAGGGGGGGGGGGGGGGTTGTTGAGCAACAGGATTCATATATAATTTTAAAACCGCAGGTGTCCGGGACCTTTCTGCCTGAATAATCATGCGGTCCCTTAAGTTAACACCTGATAAACCGCCAGTTGTCCTACAACCGAGAACTTTTGTTCCCAAGTTCAAACCAATTGACCAACTCCGGACGGTTGAGGAACAAAGTTCTTCATCAACAGTTACCATCAGAGAAGAGATATGAGCTATGAACTTATGAGTTAACATATTACCTGTTTAGCAGCAAGCTGTTCAATCAGGCTATGAAGCTGTTTGTCCAGTATTTTCTCACGCGGAGCTGAAAGAATCCATACCATTAAACTATCAGCATCAAGGAACTAGAGGACTGCAGAAAACAAGGAAGCGTGTCTAGGGGGCATCTGGAATGAAGAAAGAGGGAAAAAGTAGATAGGCAGAAAAAGAGTCGAGCAAAGCTAAGGAAATAAAAAAGGTTGGGAGAATAAATAATAGGCTAAAACCCAAGTACGGATTAATTTATAGTACATATTTTTACATACTCCTGCTATATATTTATAATTTTATACCTATTATATAGTGAGTATGAAATCAAAACAAATGTGAAATTTCTATATCTTAAAAAAACTCCCTCCGTATTTCCCCCCCACTCTCCAAAGAGTTTTCTGTGACCCCATACCTTAAATCATACAGAAAAAGAGAAAATACTGCGTCTATGATGAACTACCTGCAGACGGTTGTTTTATTGCATAATCCTGAACTTGTTCCCACTCTCTCTCGAGGTCTTGAACGAGTTGTTCCACTGATGCCTATAATGATAAAATAGCATTACCAATCAAGATAAAGCTAAATAGGCTAAATGTGGAAGAAAAAGAATGATTAATAGTAATGCTCATAAGAAAAATGCAGACAAGTTTCTAACCAGTTCCTTTTTCTTGTTCTCTAATTTCTCAACTGTCATGGATTTTGAAAACTCTGTACCATCTCCTGCCATAACATTAGAGTTAATAACGGCTTCATTTGATTTTATGGACTGGCTGGATCCTTCAGTTTGCACACTTTCTAATTCAGATCTCAAGTTTTCTTCTGTCAAATCCATTTCCTTTAGAGCAATCAGGAATGTTGAAGAGTACATGTCATTTTGCAATCACAAAAATACACCAGGAAGTATAAAGTATGGAGTACTTGCCTGCAGACTGTACAATAGTAATGAGCTAGACTAACGGAGAACTAGACTCATCAGATCCTTGGACCATCTCTAAGGGTATATCTGTGCTTTAGGAAGGAAAAGAGGGGAGAAATTTTATTTATTTATTTAGAGAACAGTCTCTTTGTGCTTTAGTACAGGGGTAAGGCTGCGTACATACGGCACCCCCTTATCCACCGTAGGTGGGAGCCTTTGTGGCACTGGGGTAAAGATGATGATGATATTTATTTAGAGAACTACACATTGTTTAGGGTCATAAATGTATGATTTGTCGATTATGGTCATAAGGTAATGCATTTTTGTACTCCCCACTCCCAAACAAACCCCAGGGGATGGGAGGTAATACGTGGGAGACTCTACACTTCTGAAAGAATAACTGAGAACCAAATACTTTTTTAGTAGACTATGAACTACTCCATATTATTTATTATTCAGAGAAAAAATGATTAGTCACTAAAGCATGCCTTAAGAGTTAAGACAGCTCCTATGAAGATACTGTACAATCTAGATGCAATTTCCAAGATGCAACATTCGTGTACGGTGTACCTCCCTAACCTTATTCATAAGTATTCCTAGAAATATGCATATCTCTAACCTTTAACTTAATATGAAGTGTGTCTGCTTCCTGCAACTTCTCTCCAATTTTGCTTTTGAAATTTGAAATAGCCTTCTCATATTCAGCATTTTCTTCTTGCAGTGTAACTCCTCTAAGTTGTGCCTGCCATTAGAATAAGAGAAACATTGAAGTTTAGAAGCAGAGGAGAAAAGCAGTGATTTACCCAAATTTAAGAAATAAACACCACAATTTCTATATCATCAAGATTTAACCCTAAATCAATTACTATAAACTTGTACTCTCCAGCATGTAAAACGAATTGCAGCAGTCTCGAAGTGCATATGAGCATATCTAAGCTGTTTTAAGTATGTTTTCAATTGGACAGATTTCAGTCAACCATATAATACCAGGTTTGAAGACCGGAGCAGACTTGTACAATAGTAAAGCACACCTGAAACAGACCTAAGTACAGGTACAAAGACCAAAAAATTTCAATTCCGTTAAAAACATCCCAAACTTCTAATTTTATAAATCAGTGTCTACTAGCTTGCAGCAAGCATTCCGAAGAACTCCAGTGACAAAAGTGGATTATATGGCCAAAAAGGAGACGCAAGGGGGCTACCGGGCTAGACATGCTGAAAATTAGATCGACGGGGCAAGAAATTGATGAAAGATATACAAAACCTGTTCTTTGGTGGTGGAGTGGGCATTGAGTTGGAGAGCAAGGGCGGCGTTGGATGCGAGAGAGTGGGCATGGAGGTGGGGAAGGCGTTCGGAGATGTCAGGAGGTGGAAGTCTGAGCCGCAAATCTTGGATCGCGCGGCTAAGAGATGCGGCTTTGCGATTCAGCTCTTGGACGTAGGCCTGCTGTTCGGCAGTGAGGATCAAGGGGATGGAATTTGGATCGTCGTCGTCTTCGTTGTTGTGTCCGCTCTTTCCGACCACATCTGCTGCCCAAGCTAGCAGCCCCGCCATTGCTGGTTGGTGCAATAACTAACACAGCAGCGCTTAAGCAACTAACACAATGGAGATAAATTGACAAAGGGGAAATCGTGATACTTAGAGCAAGGTAAAAGTTAAAATTGGGTGGATCGGCTGATTCTGCTGAAATTTATGAATTTCTGGTTGAAGTGGCTGTATTGGTTGATTCTGCTGATTCATGAAAAAATTATATTTAAAATATTTGTTATTAATAAATTAAATAAAAAATTATATGAAAAATAGCTAAAATGATCCTCTACAGTAACTTCAACTAATAAAGCCAGAAAAGTAACTTCAACCTTACTTTTTCTGCTTTATTAAAAAATTCAGCGCGTGAAATCAAAAGTTACGTGTTTGGTGAAAAGCTGGCTTATAAGCCTGGTAAGTCGAAAATGGGGGTCACCAAACGGGCTCTTAGACTCTTGGAGTAATGAGCATGACTGCATGAGCAATGAATAATGAGTAGGGATGGGCACGGGACGGAACGAGACGGGAATTAGACTATCCCGATCCCGAACCCGGTTTAGGATAACGGGACAGAACGGGACGGGACAAGATGCTGTCCCGGTGTTATCCCTTTTAAACCGGTACCGGAACAGAACGGGACGGTTCGGGACATCCCAAAAAAATTGCATAGAAAAAATACAGCTCCAAAAAGAAACTTCATGACAAAAACTACAACACTAAAAATGCAACACATACAAAAATTTACGATAAATGCAACACAAAAAATAGTAGATTAATAGGATAGTTGCACGAAACAAACCGTAACAACAACAATTAACTCCAACACACACAATACTACTAAGAAACTACAAAAATAAATAAAAAGACAAACAATATTATTAGAAGTGAAACATGTGAAGTATAGGTGAGTTTCTTTTTAGTATGTAGAAGATAGTTCATACTTGATATAATTTAGACTCCTTTAGGTGTTTACATATTAGATAACTAATACCTAATTAATATTAATATTCATTAGTATTTGAATTGATGGTAGACTCACTAACCCACAACTATATACTCCGTACAATTTTGAATTCGGGACAACGGGACGGAACGGGACATATTTTATTTGTCCCGGTCCCGTTTTGTTTTGAAACGGTTCGGGACCGGAACGGGACAAAAATAGTTTGTCCCGAATTTAACGGGACAATTTCGGAACAGAACCGGAACGTTCCGGAACGGGCCAACGGGACCGGGTCCTTTGCCCACCCCTAATAATGAGTATGGATGTTTTTACTTGGATTGTAATATGCTGGTCTGGTCTGATCTGGTCTTAACTGGTCTGGTCTGGTCTGGTTTCTTTGTATTTTTATAACTATCCAAGTCTGGTCTGGTCTGAATTGGTCTGGTCTGGTTTGTGACGAATTACAGTTCAAGTAAAAACATCCTATGAAAGACAAGTTGGAGTAAAAGTATAATTAAAGAGACTAAATTATTGGCCTTTTTATTCCAATATTACTAAGATGAATGAGAAAGACGAATTTGTAACATGTTTTAATTTTTTCCAAAAATATGACTAAACGCCATATTCCTTATATTTAATCTTGCTTTTATTATTTAAATATTCATTTTGTATATTTGATTAGTAGTCCTATGACCACCGACCGCAACACCGCCACCGCCGCCACCTCCGGCACCACCACCACTGCTGGCGCCGCCAAAGTGACTCCGGCCAAAGTGACTCCGGCCAAAGTGACCCCACCGGCCACAGTGACTCCGTTCAGTGACTCCGGCCAAAGTGACTCCGGCCAAAGTGACCCCACCTGCCACAGTGACTCCGTTCAGTGACCGCCAGTCACTGTCACCGTCATCCCACCCCCACCCCCTCCCATCCCTAGCCCTCCACCCCCTCCCCAGCAAACCAGCCCCCTCCCCAACCCACCAGTGCCCTCCCAGCCCCAACCCAGCCCGCCAGCCCCCTCCCTGGCCTCCAACCTCTGCACAATCGCGCCCCAAACCCACACCCCTCCCCAGGCCTGCAATCGCCGCATGGCATCACCACATACCGCCGCCGGCCACCGCTTTTCGGATCTGAAACTATAACCTATCAGATCTAGGTCACAATCAAACCAATCGCAAATGTAGAGACCAAATCGATGTAGAAAGGAGATGAAAAGGATTTATACTAGTAGTGGTTGTCATCTCTGAGGCTCGAGACGCCATCGTCGAACCTAGCAGCAGCCGTCGCCGATGGAGAGGTCTCCGCAGAAGAGGAAGAAGAAGAACCCAGTGGAGGCGCGACCATTGAAGACGATGCCTAGATCTTCATCTCTAGTTGATTTCATTTGTAGCAACGGTGGTGGAGAAGAAATGAGTAGAAGAAGACAGTAGCGGCAGGGCGGCGACGACAGTAGCGGCGATGGCCGACGATGATGCAAGCTGCGGTCGACCGAGCTCTCCTTCCGAGCAGATGATGCGAAGCAGATGGCCATCTGCGCTGGAGATTGGAATGGACGTCGCCAGGAGGTGCGCTCGGATCTATGCCTAGAAGATGTGTTATGCTCTCTCCGGATTTGTCATACTTTTGGAAAATAGAGAAAAGGTTATGTTTTTGGAATTCAAAAGTCAAATGATAATACATACACCATTTTTTCTAAATTATTTTCTAAAATGAAATTAGAGCCTTTAAATAAAACATACAAATATGGAAAGGGAAAGTTCCCGAAATAGCACTAAAACAGTTTGAAAATTTCAAAATAGGACTGTCATGTTTTTTATTCTCAAAATAAGACTAATTACTGCCATGTTTAGAAAATAATGCCATATTTGAAGTCTGGTACTACCAAAACATGTTGATGATAGTTTGGTTGCATTTGAAACACAACATATACTTAAAAGAAATCGATATGACGAGAAAGAGGATTTATTGCATTAAAGCTTGATATGAGAAAACTTATGATCGGGTGGTATGGAACTTTTTGAGTAATATGATGTTGAGGTTGGGCTTTGATGATAGATGGGTAAGGTTGATTATGGCATGTGTGTCTTCAGTCAGTTATTTTATTCCTTAGAAAGACATGATAGGTCCTATATTGTCGTCAAGGGGTTTAAGGCAAGAAGACCCATTGTCTCCTTATTTATTTATACTCGTAGCTGAAGGCTTGAGTTCGGTGCTAGCTAGGCAGGAAGCTAGTGGCAGGATTCACGAAGTTGTTGTGATGAAGGGCGCACCATGTATTTCTCACCTCTTTTTCGATGACGACACTTTTTTATTCTTTAGAGCAAGAATTGAGGAATGTAATGTTATTAAGTACTCTACTTGAATACGAAAAGAGTCAGGGCAGGTAATTAATTGGGGTAAATTGAGCGTTACTTTCAGTGCTAATCTTAGTGATGGTCTCAAACAAGCGATCAACAAGCATCTGGGTGTAAATAAAGAGCGCTTAGGCTAAATATTTGGGGTTGCCATTACTTGTGGGCAGCAAAAAAGGAGATTTTGAATTTCTTAAAGTAGGGAGGGTATTTTTTTGAATACTTCTTTTGAGTATGCCCAGTTGGGTGGTAACCACTCGTTTATGTGGAGCATTTTTGTAGCTCGGGATATTATCAAAAAAGGGATGAGACGTTGGGTTGGAAATGAGGTGGAGATAGGGGTTTAGTCGGATGCTTGGATTCCGGGTGACGAAGAAATTAAACGACACAAGAATTTAACAAGGAAAAATCTCTTTCTCAAAAGAGATTAAAAAACATCGACCTCTCTCGGAGGAATTTAAACAACTTCACTAAAAGCCTTTAAAAGAAGTTTCAAGATGAACTCTTTTAGTTTACCCTTGATCCACTTCCAACTCTAACCTCTCTAGATAGTGTTCTCACTACCTTAGCTTGTAGTTAAGGACCCTCTCAACTTTACAACAATGTTCTCACTTCACACCCCAATTCAACGTAACCTTAGATCATAACATTCTCGAATGTTTCTCGTAACCCCAATACAATAGAAGTAATTGAATTACACGGAATATAATTAACCGCTAATAGAACTGTCTCTCGTACTCGGTCTTCTAAGGCATTGCCGTGTATAATTCTCCTACTCTAAGGAATTTGTTTTCAGTTCAATAACACACATCTCCATGCACGAGCTTGATCATTTATAGGGATGTCTAGGAACTGTCAAGATGACATTGAAAATGTCAAGATGACATTTTGTTGTTAGCTAAACTCTCCTTTGTTGTATCTATCCCTTTGAAGATGAATTCTCTCCTTTGAACTCGGTTCTCTTAATGTGCTCAGATCTCTATATATTTTCGTTCCTCTCTGTATGAAAATGATTTGAAAAATGTTTTATTATACTCCGTCCATTTTTTTTAGTTTCAACGGTCAACATTTCACATTTGCCAACGCACGTCTTTGACCATAATTATATCTTAATTCTATTAGTAAAAAAATATTAAAAATCAGATTTTTGAAAATTTGTAATGAGATGAATTGAACAATATTTTTTTAAAAACATAATTTTCATTAAATAATAGCGTAAAATGTAGTCGAAGTAGAGCATGTGAATAATGTAAAATTCAACATGTTGTGATTAAAACAGAACGAAGGATAGTATGTATTAAAAATATTGTTTTTATTTGTTTGAATGAAAACATTTCTATTAAGGAAACATTCCTTGTGAGAGGAGATACACAAAACTCTAATTTGAATTTTGAATAACTCATTTTATTTTGGAATCTTGCTTTGCGGAAATATGTCTTATTTAATGCTTTTAATTTAACAACTTCCCTTTAAAGAAAAAAAATCTTTTCTTTGTACGACAATTGATTATTAAGTTTACTAAAAAGTTCTCTTTCATTTAGCAAGACGAAATCGAATTTAAGTGAAGAGAAAAGATACTTTTAAGTAAGTTAAATTAATCAATGTTGGATTCACTGGGTAGTTCTAGTACCAGGTCTACGACTTGTTACAGAGCACGACTTAAATTCTTTTCCTGCAATCACTTACAAACCAAAAGTAACACTAGTTGTTTGTCATGGACAAAACAATACATTCCAACAATAACAACCCAGGAGAGTGAAGGGTGGAAGAAACCGAATGCGG